CAACTAGTGGGGCTGGAAGAAAAGGAGTCCACAGTTGGTATTGATTCTACGCGCTGTGCGGCTTTAATTCATGCTGAAGAAATAATCAAGAGATGGACTGACTTCGCATTATCTAAAAGATGTTATGCCTTTGGTGGAGGAAGATAGCTTTTTTACTAAATCAAAAGTTTCGACTGTTTAATTAGCGGATGTAGCATCAGCATTCAAGTTGCTCAAAAAACCTTGATAATTGCGCACTCCTCTTCAAAAGTTCCCCGGTACTCATGTGGGTAGCGTGCCACTGTGAAGTTACCGAATGGCTGATCTTTTGGCTGATTGTATATTCTCCATAGCTGTTCGCTGTTCGACAGACTGAGGTGGTGAATTTTTGGGTAAGATCTCATTCGCTCGACAAACTACTCAGATTCGTAAAAGTATCTAAAAATTTTGAAGCGGAAACATGAATCCCTGGTCTCTTTTTTCGTATATTTTATTAAGCGATGTAAGAATTTCCGGACTATCACAAATCCATTTGAATGGAATCACTGTAGGTTTTTTTTGAAGTGAAACTTCTTTAGCGACGGTTGGCTGGTTGGGAGTAGAAAAAATGGCAAATTCAACGGAAATTGCACACGGATTATAGAGATTTTAGGGATTAGTATTATAGAGATTTTCGGGATTGTCGGGAGTTATAGATATAATAATCGATATTTTTATCGATTTTGTAATCGATATTTTTAACGATTTTGTTATGGATATTGTTGTTGGTTTTGTTATCGATATTTTTGAAGATTTTGTTATCGATATTTGTTATTAATATTTCTATCGACTTAATATCGATTTTGTTATCGATATTTTTATCGGTTTTTAGTCGATTTTTGTTATCGATTTTATTATCAATTATTAATCGATTTTTCGTCGATATTTTCATCTATTTGGTTATCGATATTTTTATCAATTTTCCAATCGATTTTGCTAACAATATTATCAATTTTGCTATTGAAATTTTTATGAATTTGTCATAGATTTTTGTTATCGATATTTTGTTGGATGTTACTATTGATTTTGTTATCGATAAGGTATAAAGTAGAGCTGTGCGATTATTCGATTACTCGAGCAAGTTGGTTAATCTATTATTCGGTTAATCAATTACTCGAGTAATCAAAATTTTGAATACTCAAAACGATGATTAATCGAATTACTTGAAATCTGATTACTCAAAATATAATAATTATGCTCGTTAAAAGAGTTTGCTTTGGAAAATGCTTATTTTCTTTTTTACATTCTGTATATGAAAAAAAATTTTCGTTTTAATTTTTGAAAACAGAAACGTTGTTTTCAAAGTATCAAGGAACTTTAACTACTTTATTACATATGTAAAGAGTTGAAATGTTGATTACTCATTTTACTCGAAATGTTGATTAATCATAAAGCAAATTACTCAAATATATTTGTTTTTGCTTAATCAAAAATTTTGATTACTCGAGTAACTGAACTTTTGAGTAATCATAATTTCTAATTAATCGAATAACTGAGTTATTTACTTTATGATTAATTAAAATTTTGAGTAATCAATTAATCGCACAGCCCTAGTATAAAGATAAAAATGAAGATAAAAGAAAACAGGACAACATAAGTGTAATTAGAACGAACAGGGGTAGAGGTAGGGATCTAACTAGATAGAAAAAATACCAAAAATATAACCTTATGCAAAAGTACATATTTGTGGCCCAGGCGCACTTACTTTTTTATTATCCAACTTTTGCATACCTTACTCCATTTCAATACCTCTAAAACCTGATTCGAAATCCCAACTTCAGATAATCTAAAATCTCCTTGACAGTTTAAGCTTTCTTGCAGGATAAAAGCGCCAAATTCCGTAGGATGAAAAGTATTGATATAAAATCAACAAAAATGCTTTCAATATATATTCTCAGGAGCGTCATTGTCTTAAAACAGCAGCCGCTAACTAACTTCCAAGCCAGTAATTTCACTCACTCAAACAAATGCGCACATACATACATACGTGCTTACATAGGTATGAGTATATGCGCACAGAAAGCGCCCACATGCAAATAAAAGTCGGTATACTACTCACATCCACTTTTGCAACTTACAAGCCCATCACTTTGGCGCACAATGGCAACAAGGACGCCCATTTGGTTTTGCGGCTTACTGGTGGACTCTGTTGGTCCGTTCAACGGTCGCCGCTTAGTTGGCAGGGAAGTAACCTGTTCACCATAAATCAATCAATCACACAATTAAGAGAGTTCCTCTGACACATTTAGTGTCCAATTTGAATAGTTGAACGTTGGCATAGTAGTGGGCAACAAAGGCCAACAAACGGCCAAAAGCAACAGGAGCACGAGTAGTGCGGCGACGGAGTCAGTGCGACCAGGCTAATGCCAGCGTTGTCAGTGGTGTTTGTTGTTGTTTTTTAGCCAACACAAAAATGGGTAAAACAATGCAACAATTGAGTTGACGAGATGCAAAAGAGCACAGAAGCTAGCAAGCAGCCAACCAAAGAAACCAAAAGCCTGCTAACAAAGCCAATGCAGCAGCGGAAATGTAAGTTTGACTTCACAAAAAAAAAAAAAGCAGAAAAAAATCAACAACAACAAAAGTTGATGAAACGACAATAGCGGTGCGATTGCTTTTGTTGTTTGCTTCAAAATTTTTTTTGGTTTTACTTTTTTAAGGACAAAACGCAATGCGACGAAGCGTTGCACGGTTAAACTTTAAGCGCTGGTTATATTTAGTTGCATTGTGCTGCAGCGCATAACGTCAGTACTGCCACATATCGAATCGCATGACAGAGCATGACAGCGAAGTCTGGAGAATTTTGGTTTTTCACTATAGCTCTGATCCAATACTTCACGTGTAAAACCCTGTAAAAATGTCAAACAGCCAAATTTCTCTCTGAAGTGAGCGTACAAAGTGAGTAACAACCAAAAAGTACGGGAACAAAAAAAGCATTTTTCCTATAAAAACGTCAAACAGCCGATCGCTTGACACTTTTCATGATTTTAACAGAAGAAAAAGTTCGGGTAAAATCTTGCAACTTCATTCTCTATACAACTCTCATTTACAGGATTTTGGAGTACGGGAACATTTTTTCTGTAACTTCCTGCAAGTTCGTGTAAGAACCTGTAAGTTCATGGAGTACTGGAGCGGAGTTTATGTGAGATTTTCAAAAAGAGATGCCACTCTCATTGCTCTCATTATCCTGTTCCAGTAGCCATCAGAGTTACAGGAATTACTGAGAAGTTGTTCTTGTACATACATTGGGTCGAAACAAAGTCGATTATAAAGTTAGTTGCCGCCATTTCATTGAAAATTATGACAAAAAGCAGCAACTAACTTTAGTGTCCACTTCATTTAGGCTATGAATACGCATTCTTCAGTCTTGAACAGCCTAACTAATTACACTGAACAGCTGATTCTGGGAGATTATGCGCTCTATGCCGAGTATAATTACACCACTGCTTCACATACGCTGCTTCTCTATGCCCTGCACTTACAATGCACATACAAAAGTATAACCAGCGCTTTAGTGCTGCTCATCGGCAATGTACATATGTAAGTAAGCCAGTGTGTTTGGGCTTTCGGTTGGCAAGTTGTATCGGGGACAATTTAAAGAACACACATGTCAGATCTATTATCAGCACTTTAGTGACTTCTCATCCATACCACAAGCACTACTACATAAACATACATACATACATTCGATATTGGGAGCCGATGACGCGCTACATCGCCTATGTATTGTAAATTCGATTTTCGTTGATTGCTAGCTTTGAGTATATGTGCCAGGTTTAGGTGATTCGTAAAATTGCGCTTTAGTGACATAATAAATTCATTAAGTGGGTACATATACGTACGTTGGTTGATAAAGTCATTAGAGAAGTTTTTGGATAAAATATTTGATAACTTCTAAGAAAGTGCATTTCCTCTATTCAAACAAATAAATGTGAGTAACAAAATTAACAAAACAAAGTGTTTGGTTGAGCTTTTCGAGCTCGAATCTTCGTCCCAACGGGTGGTAAAACGTTGCAGCGGTAATACTAGGCCTAAATCGACTAGTCTCTCAATCGTTGCCTCAATTAATTTTAGGTGCTGGAAACTCGCTGTTGCGTGGGAGGTCGGGCGAAATGAGGAGGGTTGTTAGAAGGATTCTTTCTCAAGCCGGACATATATTGAGTTTATCGGGGTCGAGTCCAGCTAATTGCGTCAGAGTTTCGCAGTTTTTTCGAGGCAGCTGAAACTCTTCTCCCTGCAGTAGACACCAAAATGGAATTACTTGCTGAGTAAGAGTTATGTTCCTTGAAGGTGAACATTGAAGCCCCGCTATGTGTTTACCTATGTGGTGTTCAGACGATACCAGAAGGTACAAGTATTATAAAAATGCAACAAACCTTTTTTTCACAATTTTTTGAAAAATTTTAGGTATCTCTACAGTTAAATTTTACTAGGATAAAATTCCAATTTGAAGACGCTTTATTTTTTTTACTGACGGTGCTAGGCATTTTTCCCATATAAAAGAGATTTTCGAGCATACTTTATATGCACCCCGCCAGCTAAAAAAAAAAAATATTAGAAATCAACGCGATTTTCTACCAATGAAGAATATGTGATTTATGTTGAAAGATTAAACTGGATTAAGAATTTAGAAATATTTATGTTTTTTGTTATTTTTATACTACATATATATGGGTAGGTATTTATATTTTTGAAAAATTGTCCTGCATTATCAATTCATATTTATGGCCACCGTATTTATAGCCCATTTCCACTAAAAGCTTAACTACAGTTAAGAGCTCAGCTAACTTCTTAGAATTGTAACATGGGGAGATCGGCCGGGTTTATTTCTTACTTTTTGCTTTTATGGAGTCTTTAAATATTGTAGATATTTTGAAACTTAAAGTACATATATGCTGAATGTTCGGTTTCTTGATTATTAAATGGATTCACTTTGATCTGAGAGAAATACTAACTTTTTAATTGTTCACCTTTCCTTTCAGTTCGTTCCAGAGAATGCAGATTGCCTGAAGGACACCACTTGTTATAAGGTAAGGAGAAAAAGTGCATCTTTTTATTTCGTTTTCTTACCGCAAATATTCTTAAGATCTTTCCCATACAAATTAATGTATGTACATACATATATATGTATATGTACACATTTGCGTTCTCATTTATGTATCACAACATTTGTGTCTGTTGGCATCGAATTAAATTTCACATTTGATACCACTAGCGGTCACGCGTCACGGATTAGTGTCATTTACATTTAAAAGAAAGAAATTACTTTGCAACACATATTAAAATAAGAATGCACTTACCCATATTTCAACAATCATCAGAGTACGGACGTACGAAATGTGGTGAAATTTAACTGGACAGAAATTAAGGCAAATGCGTTAAAATGCCACTCAAGGCATGGCGTGAGAGAAAATTAAAGAAAAAAAAAATGGGCTGACGAGAAATTTCTGCAAGCTGGGATAAGCGCGTCATTTACATAAAAACAGATATCACGCACGTACACACATACTCACATATATACATATGGAAGTGCGTAAAAGCGCGCGTATGCCACATGCAAATTCTTCACGCTCGTAAGTTTGTACATACGTGTTCTACACCTTAATAAGTAAAGGTGTGTTGTTTAAGAAAGTGTGCGCAAGTGTGCGCAAGCGCGTGTAGATGAACACACACATGTGTTGTATGTATACATTTCAGCGCAGCAATCCAATTAATCACGCCGTTGTAGCTCGATGGCCAGATTAAAAACAGCAAGAAGCTTCATACCAATATTCTGCTTATGTGGTACATACATACATACATACATATGTATGAATTTATCTGCATATATTTTGCGCCATTTGTACCTTTGTGTGCGTGCGCGTTCCCAACTTACCTTTAAGAACTTTATAATAATGACATTAAGCACATTAAATGACAACTGAAACTGGCTGAAATGCTGAAAGCTGATGCTGATGGTAAAAACAAAAATAAAACAAAAGAACGGAACAGGTATAAGTAGACAAAAAATATACGAATTACCAAAGTATTCGCACATAAAAATTAAAACGCCGCAGAAAAGAAAAGATTTCATAAAAAAAATTCTTAAAAATTCTACGCACTCGAACGCTGAAATTCTGCGCAAAGTGGCCGCAAAATACTTTAGTTGAAGTTGGACGCGCAAAGCCACAAGCTTCATTAAATTGAATGTACATTCATATACCTAGTTACGGACATACGTACATACATACATAAGTACCTCCCGTGTGCGCCTTGTCGCAGGACCTTCGTCACTCACAATGTTGTCATGTTAATTAGACTGACAGTTTGTATGGATCAATTACAGACGCTGTCAACCGAGCGTCGACCAGCCGCCTTGGCATCTGACCAAGATGGCTGGAAGATGGTGGGGACCGCGTCAGCATCCGCGTCGAGCGTGGCTGTTCGCGAAGGTGTACACGCAGGCAGCCCAGCGCGGCAAGGCAGCAACAGAAAAGGCAGCTGGAGAGTTTCCAGATCCAGTTTATTCCGCGTAAATTCTTTGAAGAAATAATGCCCATAGCTGTGCTACACGTATTCTTCCAATTTAACGTTCGCATCGCCTTCCAGCTTTCCCGCTTTATGTATTCTTCCGCACTAAACCGCATGAAGACTTGTGACCGTGACAAATTATGAAATTAAAACGCCAAAATTGTGAAGAAAATACTTTGTAATATTTCATATTTTTTTAATTTTCGTTGCTCTGATATGAATTTTTTTGATGGTTGCAAATCATCAAAGAAATTTACCTCAACATTCTCGCAATAATTTTCGCCTCGGAATATTAAAATCCCTAAAATTTTTATATTTACATATGCATGCATGTAAATATGTACTTAAGACAAAGTTTCCCTGTTTCAAGTTTTTTATGTTAGTTCCATTTAAAAACAACCGAAATATTTCGGATGTTGCGGCCCCTGAAAATCAATCGAAGTTATTCGGATAGTCAATCGTGGAAAATTCGGCTGTTCCCACACTGTGCGAACACTAACAGTCATTAAAGCTGTAGAGAACCTCCAATTCGATGAAATCCGCTGCCAAAATCATGTCAAGGGATATTAATATCAGCAAGAATAGCATGTCGCGCATCAAAAAAGGTGACTTGGGACACAGCGCGTATAAGAGGCACACCGGTATCCTACTTACCTAAGTATCGAAACAAAAACGAAAGTCAAATCGAAATCCTTTTTGCGCTAGCACGCGAAAATCAGTCACAGACGAATTCAATGTGGTGGAATCGTTCAATAAACAAAACAATAGGATGTACGATATGTCATACTTGCTCTGAGGAGTCAGCGTGGTTAGCACTCATCTTCTGTGATGATTTTGATAAGACTCCATTCCAGATGACATGGCAAAATGGACACAAAATCATATTTCGTCCAAATGCAGATTCACTGAAGTGCGCCCTTGTCCAAGCAGTTAAAAATTTCCCAAAGTATAGGGTGCATACTTCACTCGATGAGTGACTAAACCGAACTCTAAACCATGAATTTACTATAGATCCTTCTTCTTCTTTATTGGCGCTGGGACCGCATAAGCGATTTTGGCCGAGTCCAAAACGGCATGCCAGTCCCAAGTGACCAAGTGAAGCCAAGTCCTTTTCCACCTGGCCTTTTCAACACACACGAAGCGTTCCTCTTCCTCTGTTACCAGCAACATGACCCGCGTTGAATAGTTTCAGAGCTGAAGCGTCCATTCGAACGACTTGACCTAGCCAGCGGAGCCTCTGAATTTTTTGAAGGCGCTTAGCCGCCGCTGCTACGTCTTAGCCTTTTTGAAGAGTCCTCAATCTTTTCATCGTTTCGGTGATTCATCGCATGGCAATCTCCATTTTTCACTGCTTTCCAGCATGTTACGTACGAACGATTCGGGAGAGTAATTTCCTCCAAATACGCGACGAGTCTTCCGTCTTGCATCCTCAAAACGCGCACATTCGAAGAAAATATGGCTTTCGTCTTCTATAACATCCCCTCCGCCGTGATCGCATAATAGGATCAGATTCGTGTTTAAACCGGTATGGATACGCATTAAAGCACCCGCGCCCAGTTAAGGACTGGGTTAGGTAGAAGACTGCTTCGCCGTGCGTTCTATCAAGCCAGCGTTTCAAATCCGGGATACAGCGGAACGTCCAACGGCCGTTTGGTGAGTTGTCCCACCTTTGCTGCCAGGCCTGCCAACTGGCATCTCTTCGCTCCCAAAACGTTGGGCTGCCTCTTCCGCCAGTATATCTATGGGGTACATTCTAGCGACAACCAATGCTGCCTCTGCACACACCGCAGAAGTACGGAGATTATTGCGATGCGTTTTGCCAAATAGAAAACAACTTCTACAAATGCAGACATGGTTGAAGACACATTTGCCCGAAGACCTTGAAGATATATGCGGGATATCGTAATTGACATGGCATGAGAAACTTAAAACCGTGCATAAGTATGACATATTTAAGTGGTTGAGTTTTTAATTCACAAAGATTGGTGTAAGTTTTAGGAAAATACCACAACTGCACATCCCACTTTAAACTAAATATTACACAGTTTCCTTGGCCACTGCCTAAAGGAGATAAAAAAAAACTTGAACTTTTTTCCATTCCTTCATTCGTTTAGGCTGCGAAAATGGCAGTGCAAGGCTTTTCATTAAAATTCGTTTGACAGAAGGCTATCGAAGTACCTCCGGCCTTCAATGCTTGCCGCGTACAAACCAAATTTAATGCTGGTTTTTGTCACTTTTTTGTGTTGAATCACCAATGAGTTTAAAGTTTGGGCGCTGATGTAGATATACTTACGAAGTGCTACGGAGAAAGATTTAACAAAATTTTTTTAACATACTTACTGTTGCTTCTATGCTTGCAACCTGACTTCCCACATATGTAGGTTTATTTTTATATGGTGCCTGGAAAATGGCCTAGCCTACCGAAAACAAATTTTTTTTTCGGCCGAATACTGTAACAATTTTTTTATGCACTTTTTTATGTTTTCATCGTTGCACCAAACTTTGCTCAGGCCATGTCGTTTTAGCTTTTAGAAAATTGAGATTTTTTTTTTGGTTTTATTTTCCTTTCAACCATCAGGTGCGCAATGTTTGCATCAAAGCAGCAACTTTTCTAAATGAAGAACATGTGTGGAGGAATATGGCATGTGTGTTTGCTTGTGTTGCTGTAACAGGAGGTGGCACTATGCTTTTTACCTTTTCTACACCGTGTGTCGAAACTTTTGAATGCAACTTTAATTGATTCGTTGTGCTTTTCAATTGTGCCACAAGCGGTGGTACAAAGATGCACATGGGGGATTGTGTATATACATACATATGTACACATTTATAAAGCTGATTTGAATCCGATGGGGGTGAGGAATTGCTTTAACTTTTTTTTATTTATTCCTTTGGAAAAGAGAATGAAGTGAAATTTATTTTTAATATCGAGGTAAGGTTGAGTAAATCACCAAAAATGTCTGACATGTGCAGTGGCGGCCACTTGAATAGCGCCCCTTTTGGACCTCAGTATTGAAAGTATTCTGTAACAAAAGCCATGTAAATTCGATTTTCAAACTTTCTACAAAATTTACAATAGTTCCACAAATTTTCACAAAACCAAAAATCAGTAATCAACGCAATTCTTAAGGAACTTTCACCTTATTACACTCAAATTTAATAAGCGATATAACTGCTTGCTCAAAACCATTCTAGTTTTTTAAAGGTATCAATTCTGATGAAAATTTGTTGAATTTAATATTGTCAAATGTGTATAAATATTGAAAAGAATGTGATATATATATATATATATATTTTAATATTTAAAGGATATTAAATAAACAAAAAATAAACTGTCAATACTGAGGATAAAAAGTGTGGGCGCTATTCATGTGGCCGGCAGTGTACATACGAAATTTTTTAACCAGTTTGCTCATGTTTTTTTTTGTTTGTTTGAGAGATGGTTTTAAACTACGAGAAATTGTGTGTTCCGTTTTTTAACGGCTACCCTTCGCATACACACTTCGCACAGGTTGGTGAGGGC